CGTGACAGGTCTGCCTCCTCCGAAAAGCCTCCTTAGATTTCTCTCCCAACTTTCAACAAAGTCTATAAAAAAGGACCAAATAATTGCTCACCAAAGCGTTTCCTCTTTTACCCACATGCAGTTGAACATTTCCCAGACCCCCTTACAGTTAGGTGCAGTCATGTGACTGGGTTGGAGCTCATGGAGTACTGGAATGTTAATAGCAGTGGGAAGGGCCTCTCCTAGGCCCAGCTCATAGAAACCTACCAACGCTCCCTTTCCATGTCCACTGGCCGGATGCTGCTTGCCCAGAGCAACCTCGGGGACACACGCTGAAGATGGCAGCGCCCCTGGCGGCCTGGGTCACAGCTGACCCAGGGATAGCTCCCCACCCCATGGGACTGGTCAGTGAGAAGGAAGCAACCTTCGGCCACGCCACTGCCCTCACCCACCCACGTCCTAGCAGAGCTGGCTTCTCCTTCACTAGGACAGCTTCCTTTGGGGCTGTCGTTCATACAGACTCGTAACCGTGGGTTTCTAAGTCCATCAGCTCCGTCAGACACTCTCCCAGCCCCAGCTACACAGAGGGATGAACTCAATTATGTCTTATTGAATGCCAAGGGCAGTTTTAAAGAGGAAAAAAAGGCAAACAGCAGCTTGCAGGACACACGTGAGAAGAGGGGAAGAAAGTGGGGCTGGTAGGTGGGTCAGATTGCTTCCTTACACACAGGTGACTTGCTGGTGGCCCAGGGGCCTTCGCCAGGCAGCCTAGCCTACCTCTGTGTCCACAGCCCGGCTACCGCGGGTCACAGACCACTCAGGCAGGGACTCAGGAATGACTCAGGGCTCCCATTCCATAATGTATGAAAGTCACCTCGGGACTCGGGTGCTCAGCAGACTCCGAGATCTTCTTTTTTTTTTTTTTTTTTTGGAGAGATTTTTGCTATAGGGCGCGTGCGCTCGCCAGACAGATAGAGACATAGAGACAGAAAGCGAGAAATCACCCCCCAGGGGGGATGGTCACACCGCAATCCCTTCTCCTCCATTCTCCTCTCGGGATCTTGGGCACGCACGCACACGCGCCCGGCGTGAGTTTTAAGCCACCGGGTCCGGGACACGAACCACGATCGACTACGTGGGAGTCCAGCGACATAGCCATTACGCTAACTGCTGGTTCCCAAGACTCCTAGATCTTCTTTTCCCAGAGAGTATGTGCGCTTGTCAGAGGACGAGAGAGGGGGAAAAGGAGAAACTGGCCCTACTCCCAAGGGGGTGGTCATGCCACAATCCCCTCCGCTCTGTTTCTCCCTTTCTTCAGGATTTTGGGCCAGTAAACACACATGGCCGGCATGTTTCTCAAACCACCCAGTCTAGGACTCAAACCACTCAGTCGTCCACGGGGGACCCAGGTGTCTTTACCACCATGCCACTGGCTGGCCCTCCTGGATTCAGATGGGTTGCACACGGGTCCAGACACCTATGTTTTGTTAAGCCTTCTCCATGGTGTTGAGGCAAGTGGCTCACACACAGAGCAGATATTTGAACAAACATTTCTTTAATATCAGCTCAGAGCCCAGTTCTGTCTCTGCCTACAATCCTGGGGGGCTGTCAGAACCCAGAGGCAGCATTCAGGGGACCCAAGCTCCTTCGACCCCCATTCGGATTCTTGGCAATTGCTTTATATGGCCACTGTGTGTGCTGGTATGGGATTTAATTACCAGGCAGTTAAGTGTTTCCATGAGAAAATGAGTTCCAACTTTCTAGTTCAGTAACAGCCTAACTGTGGACACTCTTAAGGACACACTGTCTACACAGGTGGAGAGGAGCAGTTGCTGGTACCCGGATCCCATGTGAAACTTCTGTCAAAAACCTAACATAAACAAACGAGAGTGCCGAGTGGTCGCCACAAACTCCCCTGTGACAGCTGAACTGACAAGCAGGAGAGTCTGCCTTGGAGGGATGGCCAGTGCTCCGGGCGGGCACACTTGACTGGTACCCAGCTAGGAGTATTAATCCACTGTCCCCCAAGCTCCTGTCCTTGTCATCTTTGTCTTGTCTTCTCGGTTCTTAAAACATCTTTTTACTTCCCGCATGATTATTTACTTAATATTTCCCTTTAAATTGACACCTCCATATATACATTTTTAAATTTAAAATATTAAAAAGGAGGAGGATATGTAGATACAAATGGGGAAGGCCCCTGGGCCCAGACAGAGGCTGGCGTCCCCAGGGTGACAGGCAGGGCTGGGGAAGACTGGGAGCAGGGAGGGCCTGGAGCAGGAGCAGGAGACAGGGGCAGGTGGGGTGGGGCGCTGCCCAGGGAGAGAACGCGCCCTCCGAGGTCACAGAGGAGCCCTGAGGGTCTGCATGGCATGCCGGGACTGCGGGGACCAAGCCACCAAGGGGAGCTGGGTAGGCACAGGCCAAAGCGGAGGCTTTGGCAGGCTTGGGGTCTATGAATGGGGATGAGATGGAGTAT